CGATAACGTCGCAGAAGATATTAAGTAATCCGTTGATGCTCTGCCTACCCCGCAAGGGTTACAGGCGTGATTATAAGTATGGATCAGAAATACTATCACCACCTGTCACGCTTTCCCTTACCCTTAACTATTACTTAACTGTGGTAGAAACAGTTCTTAGTAAGCCTTATTAATAAGCCTTAGTAATATTTATTGAACGGAAATGAATACAGTTCTTATATGTGGTTATGAATGAATCGGTATTACAATAAGAAAAATGGTGCAAAATTATAAGAAAAATATTTTTTCAGAGTTCTTATTAACTAACGTATACATAGTTTAAATTGATTCTGCTAGATGTCGTTACTAGGTTTTTAAAACGCGGTAACGAAATGTTTCCTGACATGCACTTAACTCCCGCCGTTGAGCCACGCGTCAACTTATAGTGCATACGGTACCTATACGCTTAAATTGTTTCTATTTCGTAGCTTATTCGACTACCTGCTTTCGATTTCCGTTGTTTGTTATTTGCTTTGTGAATTGGTTAAGGTTGAATGGATTTATATTGGCTTTCATTTTCGAATTTGTATATTTTCTTGGATCGATTTTGTTGATTTGGTTGGTATTCCTTTATACATATTTAGACTCTGGCTTTGATTTTGGATTTTGTTTATTTAGAATCGTGAATTGGTTTTCGTTGTTTTAGGTTGTTTAACAATATTTTAAAGGAATATTAATAGTATAGATAATGTATACGTTACCTATACACTTACTTCTTTTTTCGTTGGTTATAATTATATTGACTACTGCTTTCGATTTCGGTTTTCTGCGATTTGTTTTGTGATTTGGTTTAAGTTGATTCGATTTTTTTTGGCTATCGTTTTCGGATTCGTGTTGTGTCTTGAATTAGTTTTGTTGTTTTGATTTTAAAAAATATTTAAAAGGGATATTTATTCCTTTTAGATATTTTGGATTTGCTTTTAAAAAAATATTTAAAAGGAAATTTAATTCCTTTTAGGTATTTTACGTTTTTTTATAAATAGTATTTTTGTTACTTCATAATACCAACCTTTCAAGAGTATCTTCTCAAAAACAAGCGAAAAGATTAGCTCGATCGCTAGAATCTTTAGAAGATGCTGAACTGAGAAGGCAAGAACAAGCAGAGCGTCAGGCTGCTTTTAGAGCATCTGAGACACCTTCTCAACGTCAGCAAAGGCGTCTTGAACAGACAGAGCGCCAGGCTGCTTTAAGATCTTCCGAAACACCTTCTCAAAGTCAGGAAAGGCGTCTTGAACAGGCAGAGCGTCAAGCTATTTTAAGAGCTTCTGAAACACCTTCTCAAAGTCAGCGAAGGCGTCTTGAACAGGCAGAGTGTCAAGCTACTTTAAGAGCTACTGAAACACCTGCTCAAAGTCAGCAAAGGCGTCTTGAACAGGCAGAGCGTCAAGCTACTTTAAGAGCTACTGAAACACCTGATCAAAGTCAGCAAAGGCGCCTTGAACAGGTAGAGCGTCAAGCTATTTTAAGAGCTACTGATGTTGCAACATGGCCCGGTGTAAAGTCATCAGATGCCCTTGGTCGTGTGTATACCGTCCATGTAACTAATTTTGTTCAAAAACCAAAAAACTAAGTTCGGGGTCCTACAGGATATAAAGACCTTAAAACTGTCAACGGTCAGGAATGCGCAACTTATAGAGAAGCATGTGAAGCTCTGTATCTTTTAGAAAACGATAATCACTGGGATGAAACCATGGAGGAAGCTGTGCAGTGCCAGTCACTAGCCAAAATTAGGGATCTTTATGCAACTCTCATATCATCTTGCGGGCTATCTAATGCACATGAATTGTGGGACAAATATAAAGACTACATGGCGAAAGATATTTTGCGAAGGTTACAGCAGACACACGCGAACATGACATACAATAAACACATTTATAATGAAGCACTTGGAAAAATTGAAGATAAAGTAATGGCAATGGTAGGCAAAAAATTAAGCGATTTTGGAATGATAAGCCCTCAGCGAACAACCGAAAATGAACTAAGTAATGAAATTATACGTGAAACAAACTACGATATACCAGCTTTGCAGCAGCAAGTAGCCGAATTTGTACCCCGCTTGCTTCCCGAACAAAAAAGAGTTTTTGACAAAGTATTAGGATAAATTGAATCTGGAAATGGTGCACTTTTCTTTTTAGATGTCCGTGAAGGAACTGGAAAGATATTTTTGTAAAATTTATTATTAGCGCAAGTACGGAAAGATAAAAACATTGCTGTGGCCGTAGCTTCTTCCGGTATAGCCGCCACGCTGCTAAGCGGGGGCCGCACTGCACATTCTGTTTTAAAACTCCCTCTAAATCTATCCAGGAAGAATCGCCGATCTGCAACTTTAGCAAAAATAGTGCACGAGGTATAATGCTACGACAATGCAAACTTTTAGTGTGGGACGAAAGTACAATGTCGCATAAAAAAGCTGTAGAAGCACTAAATCGAACGCTCCAGGATTTGCGCAACAATTCCGATGTAATGGGAGAAATGGTGGTTTTACTGGCTGGTGACTTTCGCCAAACTTTACCTGTCATTCAAAAGGGCACACATGCAGATGAAATTAAAGCATGCCTCAAGTCGACTATTTTATGGAACAAGGTGACAAAATTCAGTTTAACAACGAATATGAGAGTGCATTTGTATAATGATATCAATGCTGCAAACTATGCTGACACACTATTAAAAATTGGCGATGGGCGGTTGGAAACGGATGCTGAGCGCTGCGTTAAATTGACGAGAGATTTTTGTAATTTAGTACAGAGTCATTCCGAATTAATTGCGAGCGTTTATTCAGATTTAACGAACAACATGCATGAAGACAAATGGTTATGTGAAAGGGCGATTCTTGCACCAAAAAATGAGAGCGTTAACAAAATAAATTCAGATATATTAAGCGAAGTAGCAGGAGAAATAACAGAGTAATTTTGTCAGTAGACACAGTTATGGACACAGAACAGAGCACTTCATATCCCGCAGAGTTTCTAAATTCTCTAGATTTGTCAGGTGTGCCCTCACATAAGCTTCAATTAAAATTAGGTGTCCCAGTCATGCTAATGCGAAATTTAGATGCTCCTCGGTTATGTAACGGGACAAGGCTGCGTGTGACACGTCTTGGACGGAATATAATCGGTGCTACAATTTTGAGAGGCGTAGGAAATTGTGAAAATGTTATTATACCACGGATCCCTATAATTCCTACAGATCTTCCTTTTCAATTCAAAAGGTTGCAGTTCCCTATTAAGCTCAGTTTTGCAATGACAATTAATAAAGCGCAAGGGCAAACGTTACAGGTAGCGGGGGTCAACTTAGAAAAACCGTGCTTCTCTCATGGTCAGCTGTGTGTAGCATGTTCGCGTATGTCAAATGCTCAGAATCTCCACATTCTTTCCTCGAATGGAAAAACATATAACATTGTGTACAGTAGCGTCTTAAAATAGTGTTCAGTTAGTTTTTTATCCAAAATTCCCACAATCAATTAATCAGAATTCCCACAGATCTTCCCTTTCAATTCAAAATTTCCTATTTAGCTCAGTTTCTTTTCAATTTCAAATGCTGCACCTCTGACGGACTCAGTTTCCTTTCAACTCAAAAGGCTCCATCTCTGAGAGATCTTTTATTTGGCTCAGTTTCCTTTCAATTCAGAAAACTGCATCTCTGATGAATCAATTTAGCTCAGTTTCTTTTCAAAAGTCTGCATCCCTGACGGATAATTATGCTCAGTTTCCTTTAATTAAAAAATATCACATTTCCATTTGGAATAAACAGGCTATTTTCATTCTTTCCTATACGCTGCGTTTCAAAACATTTAAATAGGCTGACGAATCAATTTTGCTCAGTTTCCTTTTAATGGCTGCATCTCTGACAAATCTATAAAACTAAGTTTTCTTTCAATTCAAAAAGCAATGGATAGTTAATTTCCCAGTGACCATGCGGGCGAAGCCGCGGGTAACAGCTAGTGTTTAATATTTATTTGTTTTAAATACGCGTGCACATATTCCCAATTAGAGTATGGCATGTCAGAAACTCTATCTATTTACCATTTTGTATTTAGTTTAGTTTTGTTTCAACAAAATTAAAGCTTGGCAAATATTTTAAATATAACTCAAAACTTCATAATATATTAAGTGTTGCACAAACGATTTTTCTTTTCTCTTCATTTCATTTCAATTATAATATATAAAATAAAAACTAGGTATACACTCTTTAGTACATATTTACTTAGTAAAATGTAAAAAAGTAGTGTTTTAAAGCGAGAATTGACTAAATACAGCTTTGGGTCCAATTAGCTATACTATTTAGGGTATATCGTTGACGTTGACATGCTATTGATCGACTGTGGTAGACTGGCTGTGGTAGCTTTGGCTTATCGACGGATACTTGTCGATAAAACGTTATTCTATCATCGATTGACGTCGATTGACAATTAATCTATGTGGTTGTGGTCTCATAATCAGTATAATTAAAAATCTCTTCAGAAAATTATTCATCGTTAATTACATTTATTACGAAGAACTAATATTGTTTACATAACGAACTATATTTGTTATACATATGCCGTTATTTGGATTTTGTCGACTAAGAGGCTTTGAGTTGTTGGATGGTAATTGGCATCAGATTAGAATCGGAATTGGAATTTTGAATATATAAGCGAATGATTAATTATAGATGGCCGATAGCTTTCGTCACTTATATAATAGCTCCATTTGAATATTCGTGAATCGAAATCTAATAGATGATTACTTATCGAAATAACTGCTGCAACATGATTGCAATTAACTATACTTTACACTATATACTTGTATTGTTTGCCATAACACTTATGTAACTAGACACATAGAAAATAAGAGGAAATACTCATAGAAAATAATCCTGATTGTACCTAAATGTTGAATTGCTGTAGCTTCCTTTTATTATTCTTTCGAATAATAGATATTTCTATTTAAGGTATAATTTGCATATGCTAATGTGAAGATAAATTAATTTCTTCTAATATTAAGAACTATTTGCTGAATATCAAATTGAATTGACCCAATTAGAGTAGATTGCATTATCTTTTATTCTACACTAAAATTATTAAGAGAGATTGTGAATTTTGTGAGTGCGTGCGTATGTCAATGGTGTTCTCCGGAACTACTGCACATTCAACACATCTTTTAAATGAATATGGGCTGTATAAGAATTTCCCTTGTACCTTTGAGCCATTTTACACACGTAATAATGTATGGACAAGGATCCAAGCCGAATCAAGTTTTTTTTCTAATATTTTTTTGTGCAAGGTATAAACGTGCGGTCTGCGACGTCGCTGCTAAACGCTTATTTTTTTAATTTACAAAGTAATTAATAAAAAGAGTAAGGATATGTGCAAAAAGTAAAAGAAAATCGTACTCACATGGTGTATAATATCTGTAGCAGCGTAAAAGTTCTCGTGAGGGTCAGGTCTCTTCATCATGTATGGCCGCGGGAACTCGGTATCTTCGCAAATTTCTGTTGACACAACGTAAATTTTAGTAGAAAATTCCACATCAATAAATAATATTTATAAAAATCATTCATCACTTCAGACTGTAATGATATTGGGCTAAACTAGTTCATTGACAAGATCAATACATACAATTTTTTATTCATAGTCGACAGGGGAAGGAGAAAGAGCGTAAAGTTTTTAATGTAATTGTAATTTTTGTCCATTGGTATACCTACGATAGATTTTTCTGGATATTTGGCTACAAGTCACGGATGTTTCAAAGTGTAAAATTGCAATTAATAATTTCAGTGGTGACAGTGGCGATCAAGCTGGGATGTTTTATAAAATTTATGGCGAGTGCTTATTCTCCGATCCACCAAGGTTCTTATTTCTTATCTGTGTTATTCTAAGAGCCGCCAAGATTATAGATTATAGTGTAATTTAAAATAATCACCATCGTCATCACGGATTCCACCATAGATAGCCATGTATGGCCGATATTCGCCATGGTTTTATATATATTTAAAATAATAAAAAGAAAATTGATCAATGAATCCGTCTAAAATAGTTTAGATGATTACTAATTAAATGAGAAAATATATTTATTTCACAATTACATATTACAATATTTAGAACACAAATTTATATTAATATCCATAAGGAAATATACTTTGCAAACATTTTTAAAAATTATTATTGATATCGATTTATAATATTTTAGGACAACTATTTTCTATCGTAATCTATTAACAAAAATACTAGTCGCTACGTTATTATCCTGCGCTGAGGGCACACCATCTTTTCAATGTGGCGCCTGAACAATGGCCGCCTTCCCGGCCGGACTTCCGGCCGCTGTAACGAGCACACCCTATCTTAGAATTTTCTTTACAATGTTATCTAATGTCGGTATTCAATAATTTTAGGCGCATTTGGTAAATTTGCGTTAGAATTTCTATGGCGTATTTGCGTTTGAACTTTCTTGGAATTTTTAGTAAACTTACTTTTAAATAGGCATAATTATATACAGTGCCAGTCTAATTAACTATATATTACATACGTTTTATGGTATTTTGACTTATATGTAACAATAATAATTTTAATTATTTTCTCACGTTTACAAAATTTCGCAATATAAAAAGTAAGTAAAATAATACCATTTGGTGATGTTAATATTAATACTGAAATGGAAGTACTGAAATTAGTCCACTTAATTCAAGTCCGACCTTGCCGAATAAAACGTCAATTCTCAGTTACAAATAACTTAACTGCTACTTGGTGCAATTCGATAAACTAAAAATTAAAAATCTCCGTTCCCACTTTAGCTTAATGCCTTCCCTCGTATTCTTTAATTCAAGTTATATTTATAGGCACAATAATTTATATAATAACATTATCATGTGCTTGATAACGTGCTGGTGTTAAATGCGAACACATTATGTATTAAGAAGACAAAGTCCAAAGGTAATTTCTCTCCCAGGAAGCAGCTGCATATAACCCACAGCGGGAAATAAGCTGAGTACCTACGTTATAAAATAAGTTTCGTTGCCTACAAAATGGCGCGATTAGAGCACTCACATCATTAATTAATTTGACTAAGCCGCCGCGCTGTAGCCTGTTACTCCGACCCACCTGCGATATTAATATAATAAAATGAACTTCCCTCTTTTGTTTACGAAGATAATGCTTCCGTATTAAAAGATGAAACTGGAGAAATAATACGCACGTTCCATTTTATGATTCATCTTAATATATAATGTCATCTAATATAATATCATGTGATACCATGTAATAAGTGCACATTATTAAATAACATAAACTTTTAGATATAATATACCTATATTGCTTTATATTAACATAATTGTGAATATAATTACAATTATAATTTATTAGTGTTATCTTTTACTATATAGTTGAATATTTATTACTACAATATGTATAGGATTTTAAAAGGAAAAAAATATTTGGAGGTTTTGATTTTAAACAGTAGTAGACTATAATTATTTTATTTAGTCTCAAGTAGTTACAAGTTATACTGAACGTAGGCCTCTCCCAAGTAATTCTACACAGCACACTACACAACCTGCATCCATCGACTTTCTGCATATCTTAATAGGTCGTCACTCCAACTAATGGGATGCCTATTCTCCACGAGGATGCCAGTATAAACCTTCTTCCCCATCGGCTGTTTTCGATGAGCCGTATGGCCGACCTATTGTCATTTCAGCTTACCGTTTTTTTATAAAAAAGATAAGCTGTAAAACTCGTAACACCAACTTTCCCAAAATAAAATTACACTTGTGAAAGGTTTTTAATTAATAAATTTTACAGTCATGTTTCGAAAATAACATTTATTTATACAAATTGAGAAGGGAGTTTCGATTTCGCTTCGTTACCAACATAAGTGCTTGTAGCAATAAATCCAAAGGAAAGTAACCAACTACGTGTAAGTGCGGCGCACTAGAAAACCTAACGAGTGCAGTCGAGTGGAGAGTCAAGTGCTCGAGGCGAGCTAACTAGTGATAGTTACAACAACGTGTACTGATCCCAAAGATGTAGTGGGGGGAATAAATGAAAACGAGGATTAAATTGGTTCTCATAATTTGTTGAGTATCTAGTCGCCCTAAGCAATTACGTTGCTTACAAAATTTACCTGTTTATGTATTTATCTTAGTACAAAAATACATATACGTACGGTTTGCGGAAAATGATTATATATATTCGTTTATCTGTAACATGTGTCATTTAAAATGTGTCACAAATAAACGTAAAACTTTTACTAAATAAATGTAAAACTGTACTCGAAAATTATTAAATAAGTATACAGTATCATCGAGCGTTATGTGGCCACAAACGTGTGTGGTTCATACGCTACGCTCCAGCTATATTATGGTTGTAGTACGAATGGGTCGGCTTGACCGGGGTAGAAACATGCTCTCACAAAATACTAGTGTGAAATAGCAGCTTAAAGCTGTTGCGTTTAGTATGGTGAGTGTTGAGAACCAGAGACCCTTTTTACTAGAAATGAGGTAATCTAACTTAGTCCTCGGGGTGATAATAAATGTAAATGTCTATGGGCCTCGGCATCCACTTACCATCAGGTGGACTATGTGCTCGTTTGTCACGCATGTTCTATAAAAAACATGCCACAGTTAAATCCATGAAAATTTTATTGGCGTGTTCTAGTGTATATTTTACTATTATTCACATTGAATATATATATATATATATATATATATATATATATATATATATATATATATATATATATATATATATATATATATATATATATATATATATGTGTATTGAACGATAAATGAATTTTTTAATTGACGTAATTTCATAATTTCAAACTGTTAGCTTAATGAAACATCAAAATATCTATCTCCATCATAATATCTGTTCTCTACGGAATGCTAGTAATAAAAATATTTATTTAAGAATTATATAATTTATTGACTTTTTTTATGAAACTGAAGCTACTAACGAATTTACAGCCCATCTGATGGTAAGTAACTTCTGCAGTACACGGATATCTGCCACCATTTTAAAAAAAAAAAAAGAAACTACAGATACGTTGTCACTTCTGTGGACTAAGATGGAATGCCTCCATCCTGCCAGTGTTGCTAGCCTTACTTTATATCCTTTAGATCGGAATACACTACTGCTATTTGGTGGTGAAAATAGATAGGAGGGTAGAACTCATAGAATACCATAACACACAGTAGAATGGCTGTCAACCTTATTTTCAGCTGACACGAAAATCGGAAACGATTGTGTTGACATTTATAAGTGTAAATTAACATGTTAGTGACATGTCAGTGGTTTACACGAGCTCCGCCCACTCCCCCGTTCTATTATATATGTATTATAGTATTCTATGGTAGTACTCGTATGTGCCCAGACGGACTTGATAGAAAAAGAGACCTAGAAGAGATCGGTCAGCTAGAGGAATCCTTACTATATTTAATTATATATTTAATTCTATATTTAATTCAAACTCCTAAACAGTGTAAACCTGAATGTACAGAATTGACTTTGTGATCATCTATACATTATCCTATACCTTTAAACGAGCAATTCTTGTATATATATATATATATATATTCATACAATTTTGTGTCCAGGGTGTTTCGGGGGCAATAAATCGATCTAGCTAGGATTTATTTTTAGAAAATGTTTTTTGTCCGTGTTTTCAGGCAATGAAAAACTGCTACAATATAAGAAGGTAAATTTTGACACTGTGTTAATGATCGTAGTAGCTCAAGTGGATATAGAGCGGTCGCGAAATCGTAATGGCTTGGTTCGCGGCGTCCTGCTTTCGGTCCGACTCTTTTCCTTTTTTTTTCAAGTTCCCTTCTTTTGTGAGAAAATCTATTTTTCGAGCCCTTTTTTAGTATTTTTTAAAAATATGATAATTTTAATTAAACTAATTGCACTCATGTTTTTTATTCAAATAACCAGTTCAGTTTTTTCTATTATGTCAATGAGATCAAAAAATATTATTCATGTTTTAATTTGTATCTAAATGTAATTTAAAAAAAATCATCCAGGTGGTCAATCAATCAAAAGGTCATCAAGGTACTTACAATTAGTACAACTAATGTATGTACATAATGTCATGTTGAGATTCAAAAAAATATATTCCATTACCTTTATATCAATGCTTGTCTATTTTTCTATTTTTAGTTATGATTATAATATAATTGATTACCAGCAATAAATAATATGGTAATTATTGTTGTAATAAAGGATTGAATACACTTAAAATATTAGGAGAATTTTAATCACATGAAATTGAATCCACAATGAAAAAAATGCTCTAATGCAATTAGCGCACTTCTTTTAGATATAATGAATACGCTGCTAAAGTATGTAGCAAGGTAGCATGTAGGACAAGGGTAGGCCCCTTTGTTTGTCAGACAAACAAAAAAAAAACCTGCAGTAGTTTGTTCACTTGTAAAAGCATTGTTTACAATTAGGGTTAGGACCATGGCATTCACATTTTTTACTTAATCATGTGCACTGTATTCCACTGTTTCATGTGTTTTCCCATCAGCGTGATTGTCTGCACTGTATTGAAACAACGATTGTATAGTTTTCTACAAATCAGAAATCAGGTGCAAACTCGACCTACAACTTTTTTTTAAATTTATCTTGATTGCCAGATATTGTTGTTTTAAAAAATGTTTTGTTACGCATTTATAGAGTTTGGTAAATTAGAGAAAGCGCAAGTAATACGTTTTGTTTATTTATTTATTTATTTGGTTCAGAAACAAATGTTACACTAATACATTTGCTTAATTCTAAGACAGTGATATAAACTAAGTGCATATTCCATAATAGGTAAACACCGCATGTTTAGTGCTTACAGCATTTCCTACAAGCCTTTACATAATAGCTAAAAATATACAATGCACAATTAAAAAAATTTAATTTAATACAAAAAAAAATTAGGTACTATAAAGAAATATTAATAGTTTGATAAATTTTGTATCGAAAAACGTTAAAAGAGTCGTGGTGAATATCTACTACATTATTATAAGTATTTAAAAGTCTGCAAAGTCTAGGTATTGGGGAATTAGATTCTAGTAAAGTTCTACGAAGGAGCGGCGAAAGAGGAGTAATGTACTTACGAGGATATCTACTTGAGATACGAAAATTATATTAATTTAGTTACAAATTATGGATAGAAGATGCATTTAGTAAGTAAGATAGCTTTTGGAAAATTTTGTATGGAGTTAGAAAATATAGGATATATAGTTAAAATGTAAAATAATTTTAATTTATAAAACCACAGACATTCGAATACATATATAAAACAGACATACCGTTGTATTCGTTCTGGTCCAAGTTATCGCGTTTGTCACGGCGCCCTAGTGTTTCTTTCCATATGTTATAAGGCTCTCTGTAGTCTTCGTCGACGACTGCTGGCCTGTGTGCAGATATACTGATGAGTATGTTAACCAACTTTACCTATTTTTATATAATCATTTTATTTGTTTCTATTTTTATATATGTAAACATTTGTAAAGGTCATAAAATACTAAAATAAACTTTTGGTAAATCCAAATGTGCATGCCTTAAGCGCTCGTGTTATACGTAATTGTTTTTAAAGTATTTTAAATACTCGCAAGTTTTCAGAAATAACAATTTTATTACTTCTAATTTTCCGATAATTTTATGTCAAACGTCAATAAAAAACTGTGTGTGATGATCGTGTAAAAATGTAGAAAAAATTCTCAATCAACAATTGAAAATATTTATTACTTTTACTATGTTATTATTATTGAGATTCGATTTTTTATTATTAATAATTGTAAACACTTTTAACAGAATTATCTTAAAACGATCAGAAATCAACTTTAATATTACTTTAATTTTTAGGTATTTGTACTCGGGCGTTATCGTAAAAACTAGTATTTTTTTCGTGACTCGTTAATAGTTTTTTCTCATCAACTTTATTTCGTTTTCAAAAAGTTTTTCATCTAGTTATAACCAGTATTTTAATTTAGCTTTCATCAAAGTACACCTTCAAGTCACTCCATAAAGTCTAAGACGTATAAGTATATTTATATAAAAACCCTACGTACTTTTAGCAAAACAATATATTGTAATGAAAATTTGTGATTATAAAAAAAATAATAATATCTTAACTTGGTCAAGTATGTATCAAAATTGGTTTTAGAAATATTTTGTATTTCTACAGCGATCGCTATTTTTCATCACGAGCCGCTGTAAACTAACGATACAGTAACTAACTCACGACGGCGGCCGAGTCCGGATTGAGTCGAAGTGTATCTGTGTTTAGTAAAATATATTATTAAAAGGCTGCTCAAACACCGAAAATTATGGAATTACTCAGCCGAAAAATTAATTATAACAAAAAACAAAAAAACAAAATAAAACTGCCATTTACATTCCATGGCTTTCCACATGATAGATGACGAGATTAAAAATTAGATTGATTTGAACAATTAAAAAAAAAGTTAACGTGTTTACCCCTCCATGCGGACGTGATAAATCTACACCATAAGCCACTAAAACCACTTTTTTAATGTAAAATTAGCAATTCGTCGATTAAAAAAAGTCCAACAACCATTTATCTTTCCGACAATGTGCTTTTTATATAATTTATATGTTCAATATGGTTGTTAGATACGATTTCATGCGATAAAACGTTGAATTCTTGATTTTTAGGTGCTAGTAGAACATACCTACGCACTTTGCGCTTAAGGCATGCAAACATGTAATTTATATCAGGCTTAAAACGTAAAGATTATTTAAAATGAATCAAGTTGTATGTAAGAACATATAATACCAATTAGAATGTAATTTCATAAAAAGTCACTTTTAAATTATAGTATTAATTCGCCAATATTACATTACTTTATTAATTGTGCTAATATTAAAATCTTAATATTATTTACCGTAACATATGGATGGGTGGACAGTTTGCTAGTGCTAGAGCGAGCCGCGGAGTGCGTCGATTGTTCCTAGCGTTTGAATTTCCGTTTCTTAATGAAGGGCAAAATGGTTTCTTGAGAACATTTGGAATCCTTCTTCGAACCCGTTTCGTAAGTATAACTGCTATTGTTGCTATGAAGGCGCCACCTCCCACTAGAGCTCCACAAGCAAGGCCTACGGAGACCCTTAAAGACGAGTTTCTTTTCTTCCTCGACGATGGAGGAATATCTGTTCGATAATACTCATCCAAAAATTCAACTGAAGCGTTAACGACCGTTGGCACTGTTGACAAAGAATTCAGAAATTATGTTATGTTTACGAATACACATAAGGTTAACGAAGACTATCTACTTACTTTCCTAACTAAGGTTAGGTTAACTAAGGTAAAATATTTAAAAGAGAAAAAAATTGAGTTTAAGTAACTAAGGTAAATTTTCATAATTCCAAATCAAATTTACGACATTCAATTTAAATTTTTAAATTTTCTAGATTTAGGGTACTTCTGCTAAGTACTTTAAAATAAAACTACTGACAGAGAGGTCGTTCTTGTAACCTAGAACTCGTTTATTAAAAGTAAATTACATTTATTTTATCCCTTGATATCTATAGGAGGGTTTGCTTTGATCGCCTGAACAACAAATGATTGCAACATCAGATTATCGATACTTCTTTAGCGCGACATCTGTGGGATGTTATGCTATGTTATGTTTTAACTTTCAGTTACTATATCGTCATCCACAGATAATTTAAAGAACTAGCAAAACATTTTTAATTTTCTGTTTCAGTACCCACATTTTAGTTACACACCATAGAATATGTGTGCGAAATAAACGCAAACAGAATTCACTACTAACATTAAGACAATGAGGAGGAAATGAATAGGTGTCGAGTGCAGGGCTAATTGTCGTTGAACAATGGAATGGAAACTTGCTCAGACTTAGACGGTTTTGTATCTTCATCAGTTAGTACACAAACCGATAGCAATTTGATTCCCGACCACTTCTCGGGTTTTCTCGTAAAGTTCAGACCAATTCCTAGAAATTGGATATACTAGAACGAAGTTAGTTACTTTTATTATATAAGTATATACTCGTAGTTTTTGGGACTTATACAACTAATACAATCTATTTGTTATATATAAAATTATAAAAACTAAAACTTTCATTCTGGGAGTTTAAAATTAACAATTATATTCTAATTAATAATTGCTAACAGTAGCATGAATTACATTTATGCGTATTTTAATTATGTTATCTTTAATTAATTTGTGGCTAAAATCGACATCGTTTTCGAAAAAAAGAAGATGTGACAAACGAACGTAGTGTTCCTAATGGTAAGTGGTAACTGCAATTCATTGGACACCTTTAGCAACTTCAAACAAAGGAGAGCACTGATGCATTATCACCACTGAGGATTAAGATGGAAAGTCTCATAGCCCGTATAACTATAGAGCCATTATATACTACACACTCGATACCCGTCAAACTAAAACACAGCAAAAAAAGCGCTGCTATTTCGTGGCGCTTACACTGCTGTTTTCCGGCCATTTATATTATCATAGTATCATATTTTTGAGAAGCCATAAATGGATTCATTAACGTAAGTAGATTTATTTTAGAGTTACTTAACAAATTAAAGGTAAGTATTATATATAGCTTAATATATTATATTCAACTTACGTATACTATACCCAATATACAGATCGCCAAGGAAAGGTTAATTTAAAAATAAATAAAGGATAAAATTTATCGTAGTGCTTTTGTATAATATAAGAGAAAATCAGTTATGGCTGCACAAAGTAGTTTTACAAAAAATATAACCTGCTCTTCAGCTTTCTACGAATAAGTTAAAGCACCTAAAGCAGAAAATCCTTAATTACAATGAAAACTTGTGAAACTAGGTTTAAGCCTAAGCTGAGGTAGAAGAGGATGGCGGAGTGCCAGTTTAGTAGTAGTCAGAATAGTCAGTTGGTGCCAAGAGTCAGTTAATTCCGTACTAATTTCTAATTACTTTGTGATGATCTTCTATCTTATGTTAACAGACCTACTTGTCGAATTGAATAAAATATTTTGTCAGATCAGTCAGCGTTATTAACGTACTCTTATAAAGTATGCTTAATTAAAGCATAGAAATGAAAAGAAGACTGTACTCTTGAAGGAATTCATTTTTTATCCGATTGGGATTTGGAAAAGATTTTTTCTTTCTTGTGATTAACATTTCTTAATTGAGAGTCCTTTACACGTTTTATTTCGAACTTCTTTCAGTATGTAAATTTATTAATAATTTTATAATTTAATAAGGGACCTATAATAAAAACAAAAAATATAGGTATGCATTAACTGATTCCATTAATTTTACAGCTCATTACTTGATAAATCTACTTGAAAATCTAAAAATTAAGAGAATAATTTAAGAGACAGAAAAAATATTTTATTTGAAATCAATAAAAAAAAAAGTAAAAATATTATATTAGCGCGAATTTATGTTAACGTAAAATATTTAAAAGAGAAAAGAAATTAGTCAAGGGAAACCGTGGGTATCCGTTATTGTATCGATATACAAGAGGACATGACAACCGACTTATCGGTAACCGAGAGTTGTAGGGGCATAGCTTCAACTTAAGCTCGCTTTTGGTGATGTAGTTATCAAAGGTTCTTTTAACGTATAAATATTTGATTTTGAATTTTATTTATTTTACATAACATAGTCATAAAAATCATACACCTAGCAATTTTTGATACTTAGAGTTAGTGTATTGATAGTTCACTTCAAAACTAGATAATGTTTAGACATGATTTCTTGATGATAAAGAGCGAGCACATGGCTAATGGTTAGCCTTCAAAGTATGATTGATATAACAACCAAATAGTAAGAAAGGGACACATAATATAAAATGCGCATGACATTGTTGCTTCTTACATGTGATGATTGATCAGATTTCAGGACCCATTCACTGCGTAATGTTCTACCTACATTCTCATCACGCGCCTTAAAGCTCCTTAAATCATATTTCATGATATAGAAATATTTACGAGCTATCGTGACCGGATACTATTTAGTTAAACGATTGTTTAACGTTTTGTTTAATGAAAATGTTGCATTTTCTAGTTCCATAGATTTTTTTATAATTAGATTTAGGTTAAAATCCCCGAGGTTCTCAATTTTAAAAGACAACTTTAGATCTAAATCGTTTGGAATTTCTGTTCACCATAAAAACTAATTTAAAAAAGTTTCTTTATTATAATTGAAAGATATTACGTGAGTTAAGTTTTTTAAAAAAAATGCAAACAAATAAATAATTCTTAAAAAACAATAAAAGCTAAGGTTTGGTCTAGGGCGCATTATTGCTTAAATCCTCTACTGCTTATATTGCACAACGTAGTCATATTGCATCGGGACAAATATAAGGATTTGATATTCCTTGATTTCAATCTACTTATCCTAACACAGATAAATGTAACGTATTTTTGCTTAGTTTATATTTTCTAGAATTTTTTTTATAGGCTAGGGTAGCACACGGGCACACAGTTCACCTGATGGTGAGTGGTTATTGTGTCCATAGACATCTACATCCATCCTCGATTACGAATCAAAATGCAGATGCTTTGTCACCCGTGAGGACTAAGATGAAATGCCTCCTTTCCAGTAAAAAGGGTTTCCGGTTCTCTACACTCACCATACGAAACACAGCAGCATTAACCTACTATTTTACGCTGGTATTCTGTGAGAGCGTGGTCCATCCCCGGTCGAGCCGATCCATTCGTTCTACAACTAAACTACTAATATAACTACAGCAGCAACTAATCTACCACGTATTAAAGCATTTTCATTTACCACTTAAACTACGTAAAAAGTACTTCTGCTAAGACCAATTTGCGACACCCTACGAGATGGGTACTGAGAGGTGCAGCGACGATGTGATTGAAACCCTTATCGTCCAAACATAGTTCACTCCTCCGACTAAGCCTGTGCAGGTTGAGGAGCAGGCAACTTTTTGCTGCTATGATATGACGCACATCTGTGATAGAAGCATGATTCACGCCAAACATTAACGCATTTGGTCTGGTGGAAGTTTTACAGCTATCGCGAGGTTAAAACCCGCTTTAGGGCCCTTGGGGAGAGCCCGTCAGCCGAGATCCATGGAGGCACCTTGAGGAATTAAGGGTATGATTTCGCAGGCAACTTGATGCCTATCTGGAGACTTGAAGAAGGCCGCTCTGCGGTTGTTTCCGCCTAAGGCCCAACGGTATTATTCGATGAATCGAATTCTGTAAACGAATAATAGTACATTGATACATCGGGTGTCTCGAAGAGAAACTAGCAGTTTGGCTTCCGAGTAGGTTGTTCGACGATAGACGTCCGAGTAGACCTTGACGCGTATATAGATATTGATTGGCAAGGAGTGGGGTGTTACCGTACTGCTGTCTCTCGATAACATCAACGCTTCTAGCACCCTAACCTGAGCGTACATCAGAGAGGCATTGAGGTACCATAGTCTCACCAACTCCGCCAAAAAGTCGAGGTATCTCTCTGAGTGATACGTTTCTTGCGTTAAGCAGGCATGCAGATTATATGTCGTGCGCTTTCGTCATCGTTGAGTTTTAGGATCGCTTCTATGGAAACTGGATACGAATGAGCGTCGCGGATAGATCTCACTCATCACACCACTTTAAATTATTTGAGTTACATTGTTAATATCCTAATATGCCTATTTATTGAATTTCGACTCTTATGCAAATATTCAGTGACACAATCGAGTTTAAAATCAAACTCCGCAATGTTATAATTTGTGGAGTATAGTATTGCCTAGAATCAATATATTAAACGTAGAGCAATACAGCTCCAGTCCGCTGGTGGCCCGTGTTGATATATAATTATAGTAAGTGGGCAACTCGAGTTCGATCTCCGCTGCTATTACGTATATTTAATCGTATTGGCTGATTTTACCGAGAGATTAAAGAAAGCATCGTAAAGAATCCTGCCTATTGAAGGAATTATAAAAGAACTGGGGTAACGTGGCGGACTCATTTTATTACATAAAACACTCGCTCCGAAATTCTTTTAGTAAGTTGCTACATTACTTAAAACAAACGGTAGGTAATTTATCTCTAAAAAATCATTAAATTAAATATTTAATTTTTATGTCGTAATTTTTTATGTTATTCTCTAATTATTATTTTCTTTTAATATCTGTAGGAATTTTATCGGCCAAATTCAAGATAGCCAAATCTTGGAGCACCCTTAAGCGGTATGTATGCGTAGATGTGAAAGTAGCGAGTTAG